TTGAGGGGGTGATGGTTGCTGGAAATAACCACATTGATAAGGAGGATTTTCTATACCTATATCCTCCTGCACGTGAAGCAGTCTTTCTCCCAAGGAATATATGCAATGGCTTTGCAGGAGCTGGGCTCAAACCTCTTGATCAAGACCGGGTTCTTGAGAAAATCACCTTTCAACTTCGTACACCAACACCACCATTACTTGTTGAAGGCTCAACATCATCTGCTTTTGAAACACCTCAAAATCCTCGCCAGATTGATCACAAGGTTCAAAGCCTACAGAGAAGTCTTCAAAAGAAAAGAACACTTTCTAGCAGTCCAGTCTCTCATATTCAACATCTTGAGAAGGCTGCACAGGTGGCAATGAATATGAATCTATTTCTTCATCAAGAAATCAAGGTTCTACGAGCTGAAGGTGAACGTAAAATAAAGAAGAAGGCAAGGAAACGTGCTTCTCTAGGGAATGATTTATTTATCTCTGTACAAGAAGGCCGTGAGCATATACAGCAGCTTGATACACAGCTTAATGAGCAGGTTGATGAGCTTACACCTATGCCTCGTCAACGCACTTCACCACGCTGTAGTGGCTGTGGGACTGTTGGGCATACAATAAGAAGCTGCCCTAATAAATAGCTAGTTATTTTGTCTGTTATATATTTTAATTCAATGGTGTTAGTGGTTGCAAAGCTTCAAATTCGTGGTGGTTGCAGAGGAAGTGGACAGCTCGGCCGTGTGGACAGCTCGGCCGTGGATTACATTAATTAAAACACCTGTTTTATCTTTACTAAAGATGATTAAGACTTTATTCTAGGTTGACTGTATGCTACTAAGTCTAAGCTTGTATTTAAAGAATAAGATATTTAATAGACTAGACTTACACAATCATTTTTTAAGACTATAAATAGAAGCTGCTGTTCATTATTATATACTATATAAGTGATAATAATATAACATACCAGCCATTGGCCCCTTGCTGTGTGAGGACAGCTTTCAGCCTAGAGCCAGGCTAAGCAATCCCTCCACCTAAGGATGGAATTGTTAGGGGCTAGGCCCAGGATGCTAATGACTAGCTTTGGCACAAAAGATTTTGTTGGGGAAAAGAGGAACAAATGCCTGATCAGGCAGCTCTATATATACAGTGCAGTGTCATAAAAATGAGACAACCATTTTATTGCCAACTCTGACTGCCCAATCATTCTGCTGGTCTAATATTTTGTATGCCACCCATCTGCCTCAATAACTGCCTGTACATGATTTGGCATGGTCTCTGACAGCCTGACTAGGATCCTATCCTCTAATCTATGCCATGCCTCCTTTGCTGCTTTAATAAGAAGCTCTTTAGATGCTGCTGTGTTGGGCGCATGCTCCAATTCAGGGTATAATTGGTAGATATTCTGCTTCATCAACGCCTAGAGGTCCTCAATTGGATTTAAATCTGGTGAGTGAGGTGGCCAGGTCATCATTTCCACCCCTAGCTCATCTAGAGTGGCCTGTACAGCTCCTGCAGTATGTACAGGTGCATTATCATGCATAAAGATGTCACCAGGTTGGAGCAAATCTGGTAGAAAAGACTGGTATAGAATGTTGATAATAGCACCTGTTACACCTCTCTTTTAGACTCTAGATCTCCATTCAAAGGGACTAGACCTGTATGCATCTGTTCTCCAAATACAGCCCGAAACATCTGCTTTATACCATTCCCACAAGGTGTAGCATGGATAGATGTCCTTGCTAAGTGCCTGCTAGATGCAGATAAATGAGGCTTTGCAGTTTGACCAGAATTCCTGCATGGAATGGCACAAATATTGCTCTCTGAGCATACAACAGGATCCCTTCCAAACCCTAGGTGCCAACTGGGCATCTAAGTTTGTCAAATGCCATCCAGCACTGCATACACAATATAATCAAAGAATCACATATCAGCGTGTAAAGCAGGAGGATCCAAAGGTCATAAAACAGTGGTTTGAGACTGTACATGCAGCTATTCAAGAACATGGCATGCATGAAGCTGACATCTAGAACTTTGATGAAACTGGCTTTGCAATGGGACTCTATACAACATTCAAGGTAATTACTGCAATAGAATGCAGTGAGAGACCTTGTACAGTCATCCAGGGTAATCATGAATGGGTTGGG